CCTCGTATCACAATGGAGTAACCATCCTGTTACACCAAAGCCCCCCTCATTGAAATAAACAGATGCAAATTCGTAAGTTTGAACTTTTAACTAAATGTCACATATTACATAGTGCAATGATGGTTAGCTTACTGCAGCTAACAAACTAATCCCACTAGTCATCAGGTCCGTTAACAAGTTGGTTGCCTTCTCCGAAAATTATACTTATCCAAACCAGCTAGCCATTTGCTAATACCATAGCCATAACATACTGTGCCACCATCGGATCAAATGGTTACGAGTGCAGTCCTATATGTAACAGTCAAAAGTACAGTAATAGAATAATTCAAGTGGTCCTGATCCATCTACTTGCACCCTATTGTATTGGATCAAAAGGTGCAGTAACGATGGGGTGCTTCTGATCCATCTACTTGCACCCTATTGTCTTGATTGAGAAAGGTCGTTGCAATATATATAAATCATTTTTTTTTAGCTAAACTACTATAAGGGAACGTATAGCCCTTTAGGGGTGAATTGTGATAGCCAAAAGTCTAGTCATCCAATAATTAGAGAGGCCCAAAGAAAGAGTAAGATGAAAAGGTTGGAAAGTGTCTATTTCATGATCTGTTCCACATCATCTAATGAGAGAAGTTCACTATGATATTGTTTGTCATATTTTGGATTACGGGCATGCAAAAGTCTAAATGGACTTAAGATTTCATCACTTATGACCTTACCTATTCAAACTGGAGTGAAGTTCTGATATCATGATTGTTCAGGCAATTGAAACGAGATGTATGGCTACCTTTAGATTTTTTTCTATGCCTAGGAGATCAAGTACTTAAACTACTCCCTCTAGGAGCAAGCTAACAAACTTGGAGTTGAAAATAAACTAGAATTGAAAGACTAGGAAAGTAAACAAAAAAGAAGAATCGTTACATTAACTACTAAACTTAAAATTGAACGAAAGAAGTCACTGAAGTGACGACAAAGGAATTATAGAGTAAAAAGCATAAACTTAAACAATGCAGAGAGAGACTCTAGTATGCTACTTATTTGTGTGTGTTTGATTGCATTGTATGTACCTCTGTATTTATAGGTTGTGGTTTTTAACCATTGTAGCCATCTTTTTTGCCACTAAACTAGCACTCATGGCCTCCCTCTTTGACGACTAAGAACGTGTTTCAAAACCGTCTGCAACTAATGACTCTATGATGTCACGTTTGCCTCAGCTCTTCGCATTCTGAGATCCTAGGAGATTATTTCTCATAACTGCCTTATCTCCGTTGGATCTTTTTTGACTCAATTCTGGCCGTTAGATCTTACTGCATGTCATTCTTAGGTTTTTAATATTTGGGTGTAAACATTGCCCCCTCCCTACCCCTAAATGATGCGACATTATGCTTTCTCTTTGGAGTGTCATTTTGGTTCCTCAAATTTGAATGGTTGCCACATTAATCCCTCCGCTTAGCTATCACCTTAGGGTTGGTCATACTACACTGCGTATGAGGCTCAGCTTCCACGAGTAGACTCTCTGCCTTCTTCTGTCTTTTCAAATCTGCATCCTTCATGGAGGATATTGTTATTTGGCGGGAGAAGGCACCCGAGTTTGTAATACCTTTTTTATTCTCTGATATTCCTTATGAATAATACAACCATTGATTTCTCTCAAAAAAAAAAGTGACAATCATTATATATACGTGTCAATTAAATATCTCAGGATCAAGATTTTAAGCAATCATAATAACTTGACGTATTTATTTTCTTATTTAGTTAGTAAAAAATAAATCACCTCAATAATGGTCATATCCAATACAAAAAGTGTAATAGAAAAACAATCTAAGACATCTGACAGTTTCGTATAGCCAAGACAAACTATGTCAAAAGATTGCACTACAATCCTACTAATGGTGTGTCTAATTCCATCAAAAATTTTAAACCTTTATTCATATCATATAAGGATCCAATAATCTAATTTTCTGTGTATAAGTCAAGCTCTACACGCCAGATTAACTATAATATAAAATAAAAGATATACATGCATAACATATATTTAATATAATTCAAACATTTTACCCATATAAAATTTCAATAGAAAATGAAGAACTTTTATCAAATAATAAACTGAGTTTCATTACAAAAAGCGAGCTTTTAGTATATAATCAAATGGAACAAACGAACCCAACTGAAAATACGAGTTTGACATCTCTAAGGCCGATCAGACTTTTGATCATCTGTTAGCAAACGAAATTATCAAGTTGTCTTATGGCCATAAAATTCCCCGGTTGTAGAACTCAAAGGAAAAATGTGCTGCAAGTGACACAACTTGTGGAGTCACTCTACCACCAACTACGTGGTGTTCCAAAACACCATCCAAGAAGGCCTGAATAAAGGCCATTTAATGTTCGACGATAAGACAAAGCCAGAAATAGCAGTCGATAATAAACTCTTTTAGAAGAGTGTCACCACCAACATGGTGGAGCTACGCCAATCAAAGTCTTCAAGGAAGAAAGTTGATCTCGGAAATGACATTGATAATAGTGTAGAGACGCCCAATGGTGAGAGAGAGGGCCTCTCCAATGTAGGACTTGTTTGATGGCGATCCTTAGAGTAAGTTCAGATACAAAATTAAGTCTAATAGGGTATATATGGATAGGCTAGGCAAATTATGGCAATGATGAAAGATAGGATCATATCTGAAATATGACCAACCTTGGATCTTCAAATTACAACGTATGTCTTTAAAACTTAGTAGATTTCTGTTGGATCTATTAGGGTATAATGCATTTTCAATAAAAAATTTTGTTCTTTAGGGTAGCATCATATTTGCTCTGCCAGAGCCTTCAATCAAGTCTGCAAAACTTAATATTGAATTAAAGCTTTAGGTAATGTTTGTTTAGAGATATTTTCTGTCACGAAGAATTGTGTGAGTTGTAGTACTATCCACTAAGCATATATCTTCATCGTTCATCTTAGAGTTAACCAATGAATTATCATAATACATGCCTCTATATGAAAAATACACACTTGATTTATTAATACATAGACATTACTCAAACTATTACATTATGGAAATAATAAATAGCAAACATAAGCAAAACTAACATACATACACACAAATTATTGCTTTAATTTATTTTTTTCATTTCATTTTTGTTTGGGTTCACAAAGAAATCATAAACATCCGTATTAGAAAAATTGGATGGATAATTGATGAGGGTGGTGCCTAATGTCCCCTCACCAAAATTCATCTCTATCAATTTTTATTTTCCTTCAATGGATTTTTGATAGAGAACTACCAAATATTTCAGCGTATGGCAACACAACCAGTGTCATTTCATTCTATATCTATAACAACTATTTTCAGTCTTTTTAAAGAGTTTATTAGGTAAACTTTTTTCTTTCTTTTCTTTGCTCTTATTATACCACTTCTGGTGTTGTGGATGGTTGTTCCACTTCTAGTGGTATAGGACATTTCTCCATTTTCTGACTTGGTGTGAAGGACTTTCAAGCATCCACGGTAACCCTTGCAAAAATAATTGTTTTTATTTTTGCCACGCCCTCGTCCTTGGCCACAAGAAGATATAACATTTACTTCTAGAAAAGCTTGGTGGCCAGTTGGACGAGCCTCATGGTTCCTCATTAGTAATTCATCATTCTCCTCGGCAAACAAAAGACATGCTATAAGTTCACTATATGTCTTCAACTCATGTTTGTCAATATTATTGTTGCAATAGAATGTTTGACGCATGGAATGTAGAGTATTTCTTCTCCAATTTTTCTAAATCTAGTACAAACTGACCACACAAATTTCAATTTAACAGTGATTCTATGTATTACTGAATTATATTTGTATATAGTCTTAAAGTCTTGGAATCGTAGGTTAAACCATTCATGTATAGCTTTTGAAATGATGATGGTTTTTTTTTATTAAACCTAACCTTAAATTTTTTTTCACAACTCTAAAGAATCTTTAATAGTGATGTATTCATTTTTTAATCCTTCTTAGATGTGACGATGAAGAAAAATCAATAACTTTGCGTGATTCTTAGAAGTTTGCGAGTTTTTATCCTTTATGTTATCTCTAAGATTTTCTGAATTAAGATAAAGCTCAACATCTAGAGCTTATGACATGTCGTTGTACCTCAAAATGTTTAGGCCTGAAAATTCTAACTTCGCAATGTTGGCAATTTGAAAAAGCTTTCAAATATAGAAAATTATTCGACAATAACTCGATTGACTAACTTCCGTACTGATTACGTGTGATAAAACCAACAAATTAATGTAGGTATAAATAACTAATTCAAACAAACAAAGTAAGAGAGAAAATATAATACTAAAAATGATATAAGGATATAGATATATATTTCATTCAGTGTATTGTTCATTCAAAAGTGGAAGACCAATTTATAGGCAAAATACATAGCTATATTGCACTATCGGTAGGAGTGCAATTACACAGACATAAATATATTGGTGGATGACCATCTTCCACCCATGTGTCAATATCATTTACAACACTATTTGGTACTATGTATTATTATTTGTGTATAGTAGCCATCCATATTATATACAATATTTATAACATAATTGAAAAATATTTACCTTATGTTGAATAATGACTCATTTTGAGATAAGCCCGTTAACACTGTTCGCCTAATATGTTTGCTAATGGATGGATGTCAATGTAATTTATGAAAATACATGGAATACCTTTATAATTAAGCCTAACTTCAAGGGGTAGTGGAATTTTTTAATCTAATCATCGGTTGACTGTTTTACTGTTCTTATTCATGGAGAGTGCATCACATGACCAAAACCAGTGATGTCTTCGGAAGGAAAGTAATGATACACCATGCCAAACACTTAAAGAAGCCTGTTTATTATTTTTCCAACCAATGTAAAATTTGATGTAGATTATCTTCAATCCTAGGCTCCGGATCCAGCCAGACGCCGCCTGGTGGCATTTGAAACGGACACCTGACCAAGTTTCTCTGCCTGAGGCGATACCATCCGTTCACTGAGTGGCATATAATGCCTCAACCACACGCCAGTGTAGACCTGGATGATCATACAAAAATAAAACATGAAGATACAGCAGTACAATAAGCTGAATTAATAGAAAGCTGTAGAGAGTTGTCATGTATACCACTTCCGCTATCAATTCAAAAACTAAATAAATAAATACTATGCAGAAATAAAACACTGGAAGAAATTAGAATCTGTCCACATCAAATTTAGGATCCTGAAGACCTTAAATCAGAAGTCACAGATACTATTCTCAGATGGTATATATCCTGATAATATATCAATATCCAGATCATTAATGTTAAATTAGATTCAGATAACTCATTTTTCAGGTGTACCGCACATGGTGCATCGTGGTGACAAAAAAGTTCAAATCCTCCATCAGAAAACCAATAAAAAGCACAGAAATAGTAGGATATCTATTCCATATAAATTTGCTTGAATTTCTTCTTATGTACAACAATATATCTATTGCACTCCTAAGGGGTACGGGAAGGAACCACCCCAAGTTGTGCTGGGATACACAACTCCTTAACCACTCTGGAAAACTTACTTTGCTTGTCTTAGATATCAACGGAGTCATATCCTGAATCTGTGAGAGTCATAACAAAAGATGCAACTATCCTAGAAAGGTACACCCCTATTTTATCAGTACAAAAATTTTCAGACACATTCTTCAGAAGCAAAGCTTGATAGAAATAATCACAATGACTGCTTTACATGTAAATTTTTAGTTTGATGTCCTCACTAAGTCACTCAAAGAAGTCACAAGCATTTGCAAGGAGATTAAAATTCTAGAAAAATCATTTATACAAGGCATACGACAGAGGACCCAAAATGAAGTAAGAAATTCACCTGAGCTGGCCTCATTATTTTCGTATCAGGATCATCCAGGGACTCTCGCCAGTGTGATAAGTAGCCAGCCATCCGAGGAATTGCGAACAAAACAGGAAAGAACTCCGTTGGGAAGCCCATTGCCCTAATTAAAATAAATACAATAAGTTGTTTAACATTTCTTGAACTTGGATATGGAAAATATATAATATCTTTCACATACCTATAAATTAACCCAGAGTAGAAATCAACATTTGGATACAATTTCCTCTTAACAAAATACTCATCTGACAGTGCAGCAGTCTCCAAAGCAATAGCCACCTACACATGGTATAAGATCATATAAATAGGGGCAGAGTAGCAGCAACTGGAACCAAAACTGTTCAAATTTACAAACCTATGTGGACAACTGACTTAGGAAGAAAATATTTATCAGTGGTTTATTATTGAATTTATTTGTTGAGAATTGAGGTGTACATCTTAATAGACCCAATGGAGTAGGGTCCAACCACCCTGTCATCAATAACCACAGTGCCAGACGAAGAGAAGGCAAATAATGGACCTGTATTCCTTCACTAAAAGTGGATCCTAATCTTCTCTAACACATGATGTACAATGTCGAAGCCTCGCATTGCTTTTGTGCTTGATTAAATTCTTTATTGCTCTCAGGGCTGTTCTTGTGGTTTGTTATAACAAAACCCTTAACGTACCTTACCCTTGTTCATTAAAACGACACATCTCGGGTGAGCATGTGTCCATCCCTAAGAATATTGCAATTTGGACAATAGGAATATTTGCATTCAATCCAGTATAGGCATGGATATAGCTCCATTTTGCAAATATTTACACTATTTTCTGGCAATAATGCAATAGGACTCACCAGCAAAGATGGTGGACAACTATATATAAACATGAAACGGTGAGCAGCATTCATTTGTAAGATAAACATGAGCAAGTGTGCAAAACCCACCTCAATGAGAGGATCCCGGCCAACAATTGAAAATACTTCCTCAGCCAGTTTTTTTATGACCTTCGCTCTGGGATCATAATTTTTGTATACACGATGGCCAAAACCTGACATCTTTCGCTTCCTAGAGGAATGAAGTTGTAAAAGAACATGGATCATAACCATGAAATACTACAAAAAGTTATTGAATAAATAGGAAAAATCTGCCTGCCCCAAACCGTATAAGCAATATACTAACTTGTTCTTCACGCCCTCGATAAACTCTGGGATATTGTCAATTGTTCCAATCTCACTCAGCATCTTAAGCACCGCCTGGGAAACAAAAGCAAGCTTAGCTATATGTAACTCCGGATAACATTTAAGGTGGAGATATACGATATTAAAATCCACAAGATCAGCTCTAAACTTTTGATCCCAAGTAGCTAACTATTTATGCTCTCAAATGTAGACTTAACACTTCAGTGTTGCTGCTCAGATATGTGAAATTTCAACATACCTCATTTGCTCCACCATGAAGAGGACCATACAGAGCTCCAACAGCTCCAGCAAGAGCGGTGTACACGTCAACACCACTGCACATAAGACGTCAGTTAAGTGAAGCAAGATAGCAGGGCAGGGCTGTTCCACTTTAATTAGACACTAAGATGCCTACCTTGATGAAAGGTGCCGGGCAGCAGCTGTGGAGCAATTCATTTCGTGTTCTGCATGTAATATAAACAAAATGTCGAGAACACGAGCCAATCGAGGATTGGGTTTATAAGAACTATTGCCCCTGCAAGTTTGCAAAGAGAAATCACATTCAGAATAGAGGCCAAAATCCACTTCTGATAGAAGTATCATTCTACCAATTAGAATGAGGATGGTTCATGTGTGATTCTGAAAAGCCAGTTATTCCGCTGCCATAGTGCTCTTGTTCACAGAGGTCAAAGTACAGTGGCATGTTGGCATCTTTTCTACTTACTAAGTTTGGGAGTGCCCGTCAAAGGGTATTTGGGAGCAAAATAGCGCTACCCTAAAGAATCAGGGAAATTACATTGAAACACAAGATATAAAATGATATTTGTGAAATGACAACAAAAAAAAAACCGTTATTGGAGTTTTCTTCAATGAATAACCATTTCAATTGTATTGAATTTAAAAAAATCCAACAAAAATAAGGGCCAATGTAAAATTCAAAACTTAATTTTTATTTATAACTAAAAAAGGGTGTCACTATTACACAACACACAAAATTCACAGGGTGTTCCATGCCATTTTAGGAAATGTCAGGGCCTTCATGTAATTTTACCAAAACTCATGAGATGTCAATCTAATACACCCAAAAAGAATTACATTGTAGAGTAATCCATCATGCTAAATTTTTTTTTTTAAACATATCATGCTAAATAGTTCAAAGGAGCAAAAAAATATACAATGAATCTAGCATGTATAAGAAGTTCTCGGAATAAGAAAAATTGTTGGAGGGAAGAACAGGCGGCCTTCCTGCCATCCTCAAATAAGCTGCTGCTGCAATGGTCGGTGCCTGCACACATTTTTAGAATTGGGCTCTTAGCTGTGATAACAAGATAGACTGAAAGTAGGCAACTAGAAGGAGTGTCCCAGAAGCAGAACCAAAATTACAACAGCTAGGTTCATCGATTAACACCTTGGGAAGCTAACAAAGCATAATAAGATCAGGAATACAAGCAAACCTTTCCAAGAATGCGCACTATTTGTTTCTCTCTCACTTGTTTAGAGTTGTATAAGTCCTGCCCCTACATCAAAAAAATAAATAAATAAATAAGTAACATGAGATATATGTGAAACTTTGGAGCACCAGTGATACAATTTACATTCAAACTTTAGTACTTAAGAACCTCGTCAAAAACAGATGTACAAAGGCAACTAGGATATGCCCCCACCAAAGTCAGCCGAACGAGGAAGGACAATGGGAGATGGTTTAGTTCTTGGATGGCTCTTATGACTAAAGGAATATAAAACAACAAAACAGAAGAACATGCAATAGTGGACAAACTTCGATACTTTCTTGGTTTCGAAGTTAATAGGTCTAAGCAGGGTATTAACTTGTCCCAGTACTTTATATGCTTGAAAAGATGGGCTTACTCAATGGCAAACCATTTGATATTCCTATGGATCTAAATCAGAAACTTCTGGTGGATAAAGGTGCACCATTTGAAAATCCATGTAGATATCGCAGGTTGGTTGACAAGTTAAATTATCTCGCTAGATATTGCATGATTAGTGAGCATTGTGAGTCAATTTGCACCTATAGTACCTCATTGAGATGTTATTTTTTGGATTCTTCAATACCTTAAACGAACCCCGAGGCTTAGATTGTTGTATCAACCTTGTGGACCTCTTAAAGTGTAAGGTTTTACAAATGATGATTGGGTTGGATCTCCCTCGGATCGGAGATCAACTACTAGATATTGTACCTTCTTAGGAGGTAATTTGATTTCATAAAAGAACAAGAAACAAACTGTGGTAGTCCAGTCTAGTGTAGAAGTTGAGTATTGGGCAATGATATACACGACCAGCGAGTTAACATGATTGCAACACTTTCCTCAAGAAATTAGTTTCCCAGTTAAAACACATATTCAATTGTTTTGTGATAATCAAGTTGCGTTTTATATAGTTGTCAATTCGGTGTTTTATGGGAGTACTAAACATATCAAAGTGAATTGTCATTTCATTCGAGATAAAATACAAAATGAAGATATTGCCACACCGTTTGTGAAATCCGAAGACCAAGTTGCAGCTATGTTCACTAAAGCTTTGTGTCATAGTCATTTGGCTGTCATTTATACCAAGCTTGGACTATGATAGCTTCAGGGTGAGTGTTAAGTATACATATACTATATTATAATAATTTGTCTCTATAATAGGTATACCACTTACGTGTATACTAGCCCTTTTCTATTCTTTCGTTATTTATGTATATGAATCAGGGGTGAAAGGTAGGGTTAACAATTCTCTTTCTTACCTCTCACATGGTTTCTCCATAATTCTTCTCTTCTAGTTTTCTAAACTGCACATTAATAAATTATTTTCTTTTCTTTTTTGTTGATTTGAGGTGGGGGGTGGGGGGTGGGGAAGAATGGTTCCTCCCCATAATGATTCTTAGGCAGAATATACAAGTCAATTATGCATTCCAACAAAAGGAGTTCAAATAGAGTTTTCCCTTTTATACATGAGTTACATTTCTATTTGTTGTCATCTGTGAATCACTTAAGGAAAAAAATTGGAAAAAAATACTTATCATGTAAAAATGATTTGAGTTTTTCAGAAAATAAAACTACACTGCCTACATATTAGTTATATTTTTTTACTTAAGGCAATGAGATATGCTCTCCCCAAGAACCTATTGACACAAGCTCAATTTAGCTCGGCTCTTTATCAATATCAGGTACTAAAGATTAATTTCAGAGCCAGTTTACCCATTAACAGTTTCAGTCTAACAGTCAAAGTGGAGAAGCATTATATTTCTCTCTACATCTCATACCACAATATTTCTAATTAAGATGAGAGGAGACAATAAACAAGGGAGAGACACTGCCCTGATATGACCCAATGGGAAGCTAATACCATTCTGAAAAGAAATGCTACTCCAAAAAGTACAGTTTACTTGCTTGAATAGGGGTGTCAATAAAATTTCAGAAGCATGTTATAACACACATTACAAAGATATACCAGTATCCAATATTAAACTACATATCCAACTCTACACTCAGTTTTTTGTAAATATTTAAACTTGGCTTACTCTAAGTGCAGGGTTGGCATCAGGATGAAAGACAGATAGAGCACTCATTGCACTGACAAGAACACCCATTGGGTGAGCATCATGAGGCATCGCCTGTATGATATCCTGCAACATAGAATCCCAATGCTTTCAGAATTTCATGAAAACAAAACATCTATTCAAGATCGCAACAAAAGCTGAAATCGGGCTAAGTTATACCATCTTGTTTGAAGGAATAAAAACTGAATGATATATTTACTAATTGTACACGTGGCTTTAGTAAATTTTGAGAGGTTCTCTTCTGGTCTTAAATAGCAATAATATTTCTTATATAGATCAAAAAAATCAATTGGAAGTACATTCCTCTCAAAAACCACCTGAATATTCACAAACAAATTCTTTCTGTAGAAAGTCCAATAAATGATATGTGAGACATCATTGGTGGGCTATATTATGCCAACTTATTGATTTATGTTCAGTTTCAGAGGGAGAGCGGTTGTGGGTCAGCAATGCAGCACATCTAATTAGTGGCTGCATGTGCTGAACAAATAACTTCTATGATCCACAAGCTTTCCATGATTGTAGATGGCAAGCATGAGAATCTTGACAGAGATATTCAAACACATCATTTGTCCAACAAAACAAGATATGCTATTCACCCTGTTCTATGATCCAGCTCAGCTAGGCAGTCAACCTATCTAAAATAATGGAGGAAAAGGGTATAATTGAAGACATGGAATTCCATTTTAACCACAGAAATAGGCTATAAGTTTCCCAGGAGCACACCAAAATTCCTTGAGGAACAGCTGAATGTTGCGAAACAGCAAATTCCCAGTCTGACAACTGACTTTCAGAAGGCAAATTCCCATACACTGCAAAAATGAGCAGCTAAATTAGACAACTGGAAGTGGATGCACTAAGATAAATAAGGCAAGCAAACACAATAAGTTGACACTCTAGTAATGAACTCTAAAACATCTTTTCATTAATTCATTCCTCATCCATTCTAGTGTCCTCTCAGTAATCAACTCATTACTTATTAGTCCAGACACACGTACATAATTATATACTGTATGCATGTTAAACTGATAGCAGTTTTCTTTTTTATCCCTTCTAATCTCACAAAATACTGCTGACCTTTAAACACTACAAAATGGTGCAATAATTTTTTTTCTTTTTCCTTTTTGGCTGGAACATGGTGGATATAATAGACATATAGGAATCAACATCCTCCCCCCCCCCCCCCAAAAAAAAAAAAAAAAAACCAAAAAAAAAAGAAAAATAATAATGATGCAACCACTAACTTAGGATTTTTCATCTTAATCTTACTACACTCAATTAAGGTTTAAACGAATCTTGGCACTTATATCAAATGTGCACATTTTTAGGTTTCACTTAAACTTGGATGCTTGTCTTTGTTTTGCAGTTCAATCAGGTTGTATGATAAAAAGTTCATATTTGAAGCTATCAATTGGGACACTAATATGAATGGCTACAATATCATACTTAAGGTATTGATTTATTTTTGATATTTTGACAAAACATTATGAGAAAATGTTACATCGTAAAACTTCTGGAAAAAGGAATGACAAAGCTCAACAAATGACATAAGTTATACATTTTACACGAAAGGAGTTCCAACTTTATGTTAATGTCTTGCCAATCTGTGCCACTAGACGAAAGTAGGCATATTGTACTGTTAAATAAAACTAGTCTCACCCCTAATACTTTGCAACTAGAGATGCAAAAATATACGAACTTGCGTAGAAATACTTACTCAAAAGGTAAGCCACTTCCAAAAAGGAACTTCCTCCAGCCAACTCCTCAATTGGGTAACCCCTATACCTAAGGATCCCCTCATCACCATCAATGTAGCAAATTGATGACCGAACAGGAGCTGTGTTAAGGTAGCCCGGATCATAAAGTTTGAGCCCCTTGTCATTCTTTCCTGTTGCTATCTGTTAATTCATGGTTATTATACAATTAGAAATTAGAAATATAAGATCATAGGTTATTATACAATTAGAAATTACAAATATAAGATCATAGCATTAAATTCTCAGATTTACCAATTTATAATACAAAATAGAACATAAAATTGCGCACCAGATAAGGTCCACCATTATAGATTTGAGCACTAAGATATACAATCAAGTCTCATCACAATTCACCACATTATGAATTTAAAATCTCAAGATAGAAGAAACCTCTTTTTACCTAATAAGAACTTTATTATATATGCACATATGTATTGTTACTAGCAAACTTTTAGGAAAACCCGTAGCTCCATGCTTGGCTACCCAAGAAAAATAAAAAATCAAAGGAAAAGAAAATATGAGTTATATACAAGCACCTCAATTAAGCTTAACTGAGGAGATGAGATGGTACTTGTTTTCAGTACCAAATGACGAAAACACAAAAACATATCAATGCAGTTTGCTTTCATTTCTAAAGTATCTCTAAAACAAAACACAGCACCACCAATGTATCGTTGCTAAAAATAAATTTAAAAAGAATACAACAAATGAAATCTAGACTAAGAATTATGTTCTATATTGTTAAGTAGTAGTTGCTGGGAATTGAACCAGGTTGGATTCCCTCAATCTCCAATTTTTTTCAATCAATTAAATTTATCGGGTCACACTTCGTGTCAAATACAGCCAAATTAGTTTAACCGTGGATGTTGAACTTGACCAAAATTGCAAATTCTGAAATTGACAGGACCCAGATCCATTCAAACCCGCTCCTCAGTAGAAACGTAAAGTTTTTCACATACAACGATAACCTAATATCTAGTCTCATCCCAATTGGTACTACCAAGGGGAAGGAGAACAGTTAAAATCACAAATAACCGTTCTTTCTCGGTAACATGGACAGCCTTGCTAGTTCTTAAAATGATTAAAAAAACCCTAATTCAGCTCAATTCTCGTAATTTTCTCCATAACCGAACAGCGCATAACAAAACCGATCAATATTCACATCACCTTGGCTTCAAAACGCTACACAAATCTCGTATTAAATCAAAGATAATTGTTAAATTAAATGTTTATTTTTAACCTTTTTCAAGTCGGTGGCTTTGACAGTGCCTTCGTTGGAGACCTGAACTTGGTACTTCTTACCAGTCCTCTCATCGACGATCGTCAACGAACCATTTAAATTCTGTGGTGGAGCTGCCGCCGCCGATCGAACCGAGACAGTAGAGGCTTCTAGAAATGGTGCAAACGCATCAGACTCAACACAAGCCGAGAGATGAGCAGAGAGCACAGCCAAGCGACCTCGAGCCATTAACGACGAGTCCAAACCCTCCATTTCTCGTCTTTCTTCACAAATTTCGTTTTCCCAAAATGAAAAAATTCTGATAGATTTGATGATTTAAGAGTTGAGAGAGAGAGAGAGAGAGATGGCTGTGAGAGAGATGGCTGTGTATGTGTAGTGTATATATGATCTGAGTAGCGGGGGGTTCTGTTATATTGCCGCCAAAATGCTATGCTTTTTAGGTATGGTGAATTTTATAGTACTGTCACAAAAGGGTAAGTCGGTGCTGATTAATGATGGTTGTGTGTTGCGCCACAAAGTTGTGCTGTGTAAAAATTTTATTCCATTCATATACGTATAATAAAAGATATATAAGTAGTTCAATTTTATCTCTTATATATATTTTTTTTAAAATTATTTCATCATTTATTTTAATCATATATTTTATTATTTAATATTTGATTAATTTATAGTTTAATATAATTTTTATTTGATATGTAATATATACACGATAATATATATATGTGAAAAACAAATTTATCGAATTACATATTTTAAAAAAATTATTAATATTTTTAAGAAAATAATAAGTAAAAATAAATTTTGAATGAGATAATCAAAAAAATTAGAAAAATAAAAATTATTATTTAATATAGTGAGATAGATTTTTTGAAACTCGAATTTTATGTTCTATTGTACTTTCAGAGACGAATTATGACTAACACATGTACAATTCCTTTATAATTTTATATTCATGTTGTCTTGATTTATATATTATGTTTAGTGGATTAAGTTGGTTTATAACTTGAAATATATATATATACACACACATCTGCTAATTTCCCATCAATTTTATGTCATATTAATATATCCTATTAAGAACTAAAAAGATCTAACTTTTTATTGAGTAATACTATACAAATAAAATAGAATTCAAACAATTACAACTCAAATGAATATCATTTCTGGGATGAGTGACTCCGATTATTTTCAGTGAGACTCACTCATCCAACACTTATCTAAATAATAATATACATTTGAGTTGTAATTTCTTATATTCTATTTGGGTTGTATATATTATTTTTCTTTTTTATTTCATTTTTTTATATGATATTAAATGAATTCTTGATGATTGTTTTTTATCATAAATTCTTGATGAATTTAAAAAGTTTGTATTTGACATTATATTGAATGCGGAATTATTTTCAACAATTTTTGGTTCCTAGATTACAAGAATTGATCCGGACATAACACAATTAATAATAAAATGAATTAACTGAATTGCTTCGTGTTGTATTTAAATCGTATCAAATATTAGTCGATTAAAAGTTAAGTCATATAATTAATCGTAACAGATTTTCTTACACTAACTCGTATACCAAAAAACTTATAAATGAACTAGAAACCCAAGATTAGGACTCCTTATCTCCCAAGCAAATCGACAATCGATATTGATGACGGAAATTCGCGCAAATGCTCGGCACAATGAGCTCCGTAGCTCAGAAGAGCTCCAACTCGACAGAGTTTCAGTCCTCTTATGGCTTTGATTAGTTTAACTCAACTGAAGCCTTCATTGCTATACGTAGACCACTTCTACCGCACCAAGAATAATTGCCTCCATTTGAATAAGAGGATAAGGATCCCCCAACGGCATGGTTAATTGGCCTATAAAAAGGGAAGAATGGAGATCAACTGAGGTAAGCAATTACAACTCTAACTTAATATTCTCCTTTCTCAATTCTTTATCTGAATTAAAAATAGGAGGGTGACCCCTGAAGAAACTCTTCTGGTCTTCGACTTGCTTTTATAGGTGCTCCCCTTGATTGTTCAGAAGTTAATTTCATCCAAGGAGCTCGGAGAGTAATTTTTGCATTAAAGCTATAATACAAACACCACTCAATTTATATGCTAGCAAACTAAGTAAATTATTGCCTAATTATACAGGAATTCATACAAATATATCATCAAGAGCTGAAAACAATAAACAAAAATTAAACATTTTATTTGTACAACAACAATTAAATGAGCATCTTGTGCTTCAAATCAGATTATTCGTGTTTTTTTTTTTTGTTATTGAATTATTCGTGTCTAATTCTGATCTAATCCATCTATTATCAGTATCTACAAGTCATTTCATTTTTCAACGTGAGTAGAAAACTAGTTAATCGCATTCCATTGATTTTGTGTGTGAAAAATGTGTATAAAGTTAATGAATAACAATTAATATACAAATTGGGATGTCAAACCTAGACATAATGTCATATTTTTTTTAGCTTCGTAATGAACTCATAATTGAGGATGCTAAATGAATAGAGTACGACTAGATTTGACTCGTTGAGGGTTGTATAAATTGTAAAATTAGTTGAATTAGATCAAATTTCTAAGCTCATTTTATATACTAGTCAAATTTGAGTAACATATTGCTCGACTTAAGTATGTTATTGAATAAATTATTGTCTATAGATTATTCTATGTCTATCATGAAATAAACCATATTTTGAAGATAAAGAACAATAAAATTGTCCCAACATTGTTTCTAACTCATACATGGTGGATATTTTGAGAGATTTTTATGGTGAAACTAGTACTTTTGAATAAATCTAATTTGTAAAACATTTTGGTGAGAAATTAACCTCTATTTTAGACTTAACTCTAACTTGAATGCTCATATGTTTTTGTGTAGCTCAAGTTCCAGCCAAACTCTAAATTTGATAGTTGAGTTCGACTTAAGCTCGAGATGGACCAATTATAATTGCGTCGAGCTCAAATATATTCTGATTCTAGGACAAATTATCTTTAATTATGCTACTCATTTTTCACAATATTTCTAAACAACCAGTTTTATCAATTTGTACCTTAAAATGTTAGTTTGAATTGTATATTACCCCAATTATTGACCTTGGTCTAATTTTTCATGCCCAATCAAGATAAAAATGGGATCCCAAACTGTTAGAAGTATGATGGTGTTAGAGGTGGTGGTGGTAGTGTTGGTGGAAGGAGTGTGGTGATGGAGGTCATGGTAGCGGTGGTAGTGGTGTTTTTTAAATTATGAAAAGATTATTTTTAATTCTAACTTATTCTCTAAATTTATTTATTTTTTGTTCTCAATTTTTTTTAAAAAAATTAAAAATAACTGATTAAATAATTTTTGAAAGTGTCATGGTCTTTTCTCTCTTTAGTTGAGTGAAATTCTATTTATGCACTGATTTCTCATGGCAAAGTAAACAGAAGTCAACAATGGAGAAACGTGAGGGTTAAGCAGTAATTTACTCAAAATACCTTCAAGGACTTGACTACGCTTTTGGCATCACACCTTCAACTTTTACAATTTTAGTTATTGTTTTTTATAATTTTTGTGAATTATTTTATAATAAAAAATTTTATAATTTTTAAAGGTATTTTAAACACTGTTGTGAATATTTTTATTATATTTGTGGCAATTATTTTTATTACTTTTTTTCTGTACAAAAAAAATTATCACTTTTATAGGTAATTTTTTACATTTATGAGTATTTTTACCATATTTATTGATATCTTTATCACTTTTGTAATAATTACTTTTATCATTTGTTTGAATACCACAACAGTGAAAAAATTATCTATAAATGTGATAAAAATATCTATAAATATAAATATAGTATCAAAAATTTATTGTTTAGATCAACTCCATCCATTAGTTTATAAGTTCATTTAACAGTTTCAAATAAATTTAACAATGGTCACTAACATCTCTTTTAAAATCGTATACGTTGCAGTGTGATTTTAGATATGGATTATTCCTATAAGGGCTTATTTGGTATGTGAGTTAGACCTTGAGTTGGGGATTAAACTCATGTTTGACAACAATGTATAGGGATGTCAATGGATCGAAGCGGGGGCGAGGGGTGTAATTTTCATCTCCATACCTGCTTAAAAAAACTTCGTTCATCCCTGGTCCACCCCCGTTAACGATTATAGTTTTCATCCGTATCCCCGTTCGTAGATAAATTTCTAATCCCCGCCCCTATCCCCATTTCCCCGTACCCACCCAAGCCCAAGCCCAAGCCCAATCCTAAGCCTAAGCTCCATTTAGCTACCAAATTAGACTAATTATGTAACAAATTGGACTAATCTCCATTGAGCTACTAGTTCTAGCCATTGAGCTAAAACCATGTTGCTACTTCAATGTTTATTAAAACATAATATAATTTATTAAAGGGTCATTAGAGTCACCAACTGTTCATGTTACAACCTTCTCCTAACTAGAATCCTAATCCATAAGGAAATTCTTTGTCAGTTCATCAATTACATAACGAGTAATCTTAATCAAGTCAGCAATTAAAGGACTTTATCCGTCTAGTTATTTCATATCAATTATCACCATTACTAAGGCGGGATATTTAATAAACTACAAAGTAATCTTAGTCTTTTTCCAATTAAGCTGCAACTTGGAAGTTGGAACCACCATATAGGATGCCTTCTTGCCAACTGATTTTACATTATCCTCTTTATCATCTATTTTTCAGCCAAGATGCACTGTAGGAGTGTTAGTCCTATAATATGAGATGACTTCTTACTAACTAATTTTACAATATATGTATTTATATATATATAACGAGTAATCGAGGGAAGGGCGGGGGTGATCCATCCCTACATTCATTTTCGTACGGGTTTATACGGATATTTTTGTATACGTTCACCGTTCAATATGTATGGTTCATTCCCGGTCCAAACAGAGCGAGTTTGGACGAATACCCGTTTTTTCCTATTTCACTACCATCCCTAATTATGTATTTAGCCTAGGGTTTGAAACTCAGCCTAGTCATGAAATCCAAGTTTATGGGTTTCATGAAACCCAAGAGGGGTGGGTTTTATATATGGGTTAATGGGCTTAACATACAAATGACATTTATACCCCTATATATTATATATATCTCGTATATACAAATTGATTAAGGGACATAATAGTTATTTATATATAAATATATTATTATAATAGTCATATATCTTTGTGCATATCAAACATAGGTATACACAATATTAAATGTTGAATTTCATCTTTAAATTTGAACGAGTCAATCTAACCACATCCCAAAAAACATACCAAACGGCCTAAATGTTTAAAAGGTTTGAAGCGTTGATAGCGACTGTACCTTCATGTTGCAGACCGCGAGTGGGCCTTATAACAGCGCATTAAACGTGTAAGTATCAAATTTGAATAAGTTAC